TGTTTTCAACAGCAGACATACACAACAGAACGGAGTGCGTCAATCGAAATTTGTTAATTTTTTAGTGATAAAGAATTTCATAACGTAGAATAACTTTTTTTCGTCGGCTGTTGTAAAGAATAAAACGACAGATAGTCCTTTAAGGTGGGTTATTGATTACAAAATCAATTAGCCTAGCCTAGATGGTGACTAGCGTAGATGTTGACTAGCTAGGTTCACTCCTCGTTCATTTAGAGACAGAATTATACCCCACGACAACAAATTAGTGTAGGCCTAGGCCTAAGTACAGTAAGACGTACTACTAGGCCTAGGCTTTTGTTGTAAAAGTTAAAGTGCATGTACAGGATGTGCTATAGGCCTATTTTAAAAAAATACATTTTGTTTATTATTATTGGTTGGCCTGAGACCTAGGCAGGCATGCAAGCTTTACCATTGAAAGTCCTGAGATTCGACGATGACGTCAGTGCACGTTTACAAACGCCATTGATTGGAATAAAAATAGACACGCTGAATTTCGTTTTTTTTTTTTTAATGAAAGATAGAATTTATTGGACATTTATCTATATAAAAACAAGATTAATATTGTACAAATTGTATTTTTAAAGATTCATATATAATTCATATTTCATTTGGTAGACAATAAATATTCAGTAAGATATACTAAAAACGATTATTAATTCTGAAATGTGCATCAAATCTCAGCTATTATTAATCAGTATGTATTATGTTAAAGTCTTAAAATAATAATTTCGAATATGCCTAGTATATAACAAATAATTGTAATTAAAGTTTAGGATCCCATGATTTTAGATGGCATATTGAATATGATGCTATATTTTTGGCACTGACTTCATTTAACGATGGCCCTGCCCTATCAGTAATGACAATATATGTAGATTTGTAGAATATATTTAGTAAAATATTAGGCCTACTATTATTTTCAGTGTACAAAATGAGAGTAAAGAAGAAGTAGTAGAACAAGAAGTATAGGAAGAGGAAGAGGAGGAAGAAGAAGAATAGCCTTTTTTTGTTTTATAATAATAAATGTGTTGAGTATATTAATATTGATTATGCGATGAGGGGGTTTCTTTTATGTTTTTCGGTGTGATTTAAACATGCCAATTCTCAGAAAATATTTTTAATTATATTATATTACCACCTTTTTATTACATAGATCTTTTTCAAAGCATAACTGCTTTTATAACATTATATAGACCCATTAAACACAAAAAACTGCTCTGGCTTCGGGGGCTTCGCCCCCGACCCCACCGTGGCCCTTAAGGAAGGCCCTGGATCCCACGCCTAGAGAACCCCCCCCCCCTTTAAATGACCTGGCTACGGGTCTGAACAGAAATGATCTTGCTAATTACTGTAATTGCTGTTGTTCCTTGTCTTTTTAACAGATCGTAAGTTGATAACATGAAGGCAGCAGTAAACTTTAAATTTATATTGTATGCTGACGATTCTGCGTTGTATCTGGAAAACAAATGAAATCGCGTTATAGTATCTAATGAATAACTTACTAGTAAATGAAAATTGGCTCTTTAATATGAACATTATTTGTAATAATAATCAAATTCATGCTAATACTTTAAAATATTAAGTGATGAAATTAGACCTATCACAGGTGAAATTATGGCTAATAAAGTTGTTAAAGTAAAATTCCGGAATTAATTTTTATCTAGCAAAGCTTTATATCTATATCAGAAGTCATTACTTAGGCTTAGTACAGATGTCATTTATAATGCGTGTACATAGTAGCCTAGCAGACAAATACAAAATAAATCTATTGGAACGGTTTCGAAACTACCCCTCGTACTTATTTAAAGCATGCTTATTAATTTTATTAAATGGCTATCGGTTAACGGAAGTAAGCCTTCCGACTTTTTTGTGTTATCCTCAAAATGTTGATTTTTCTTTTCTGTTTTTTTTTTTTAAATTATAATATTTTGATTAAATTACTGTACCACACTCATTTGAGCAGCATAGTCGGCTATGCTGGTTGTAGCCAGCAATTTTTTTTTCAAATTCTTTATTCAATCTATACAATCAGTACGATAGCAGCCGAAGCTGAATTGCAGCATTACAAGCTTTCCTACCAAATACAATTCAAAATACTCTATATAAAAAGAAGACCATTACAGGATAACAATTACAAGAAACATAATGATAAACATTTACAATAAACATTACCATACCAAAGTCATAAAACCAAAAACACCATAATTATTATTATTATTACCACTACTATAAAGACAGTGAGGAAAAAACGAAGACAACGAACCAGAAAGAGAAAACATAAAATAATCATAGAAATTCTAGAAAGTGGAAGAGACCCCAAAAACATAAATAAGTTAAACAACGAAAAACCAAGAATCAACCAACTCAAACGGAAAGATGGAAGTATAACATCAGATAGATCAGCAATACTAGAAATCTGTTCGGACTTCTACACAGATATTTACGCTTGAACAAAGACAGTAAAAAAGAAGAGCGAAACAGAAACAAATACACTACCACATATAATACCAACAGAAGTGGAAGATGCCATCAGAAAAATGAAGAAAAACAAAGCACCAGAACAGGACAATTTGACAAGTGACATCATTAAACTAAAATTAAAGAAAATCCCAATCACATGGAAAGAAGCAAAAGTAATTCTACTACACAAGAAAGATGACAAGACAGATATAAAAAACTATAGACCAATCAGCCTTCTCTCTAATACTTACAAGATATTTGCCAGAATAATTCCAAATAGACTAAAGAATATATTAGATCAACAACAACCAAGAGAACAAGCCGGCTTCAAGGGAGGCTTTTCCACAACAGATCATCTACAAACAGTAAACCAGCTCATTGAAAAAACAAATGAATTTCAACTCCATTTGTGTCTGAGATTCATAGACTACCAAAAAGCTTTTGACAGCATTGAACACAGGGATATGTTTGCTGCACTACGTAACATGGGAATCGATGAGGGTTACATACAAATAGTAGAAGAAATTTACACGAATGCAAACGCAAGAATTCACATAGATAATGGCATATCAAAAAAAGTGCAGATAAGAAAAGGTGTTAGACAAGGAGGCTCATTGTCCCCCAAGATATTCCCAGCCACACTGGAAGAGGTATTTAAGAAATCAAACCTAGAAGATAAGGGGATTAACATAGATGGAGAACAACTCACAAATCTAAGATTTCCAGACGATGTCATACTTATCATAACATCAGTCAATGATCTAGAACACCAGCTACGGAGTTTAAATAAAGAAAGCAAAAAGGTTGGTCTACAAATGCACACGGGAAAGACTAAATACATGACGAACTATAAATCACCAGATAAAATAACAATAGAAAATCACCAGATAGAAAGAGTAGAGAAATACACATATCGTGGACAATCATTGAAAATGAAAGATAGCATGAAAGAAGAAGTACCTGTTCGGATAAAGGAAGGTTGGAAATGCTTTGGAAGATATAAGGATATATTAACTAACAAAGAAATACCAACTTCCTTAAAAAGAAAAATCTTCAACCAATGCATCCTGACCAAAATGACATATGGCGCAGAGGTATGGTCAACTACTAAAGAAATGGAACAAAAACTAATAACTACACAAAGAGCAATGGAGAAAAGAATGCTGAACATATCACTAAAGTGAGACACGCCATCATTAGAAATCAAACAAAAGTAAAAGACATCATAGAGAAGATCAAGGAAATGAAGTGGAGATAGGCTGGACACATATCAAGAATTCAAGACAACAGATGGACTAAGAGACTAACAGAATGGCAACCACGGACAGGAAAGAGAAGGAGAAGAAGGCAGATAAGAAGATGGAAAGACGAACTAACCTCATATATGGGAACAACATCATGGAATAGATCGGCAGAAGACAGAAAGAAATGGAAATTGCTTCAGGAGGGCTTCATCCAGCAGTGGATGAACGTAGCCTAGATGATTACCACTATTGTTGTCGTTGTCGTTGTTGTTGTTGTTTAAAAAAACAGACCCGTTCCTATTTCATTCGCTGCTCTCATTTTGTTTCATCTCAAGAGCTGCTGAAATGCAATTATAAACAAAGCACGTCTTTCGGATGAGACGCTCTAACCGTCGGTTCCGTATCCATAATATACGGTTACTATGCACGTTAAAGACCAACGTATGCCTACACTCCTCGAAAATGAGAAAGGGATTGGGATGGGGTTCCTGAATGATGACCAATTGTATATCTGCCACTGTTTTTATGAACTATTGAGGCTTGGCTTGCGTTTCATAATCGCAAGGAAAAGGCGTATTATAAATGACTATTACCAGTGTCAGTATACAAAAAAGGTACGGTAAAGTTTAATATAAAAAGAGTTTGACCAAAAACCGAAAGTTCCACTGATTAATATCAGATAAAAGATGGTATAATACATACTCCTAGTATCGAAATGCACGCCATCGTGTCGGGATTCAATATTTCGACATTAATTATGTCATGACATAATTAATGTCGAAATATTGAATCCCGACACGATGGCGTGCATTTCGATACTTGGAGTATGTATTATACTCTCTTAAAAGAGGTTGAGCCTAAATCCTAAAATGTATAGACGCCTACACCTAAACTCCGTTACACACTATTGGGTCACATACACTGGGTTATTACAAACATGAACATCAAGTGTACTTGAATAACTCTTCAGCATTTTCGTGTATAAAAGAGAATACAAATATGAAAGAGCATTGACGTTTTAAAAGCAAAGTTCAAAACAAGCAAAGCAATAACACAGAACTAAAGTAAGCAAAATAATTTACAATCTCGGCCTTGGTGAAAGTTACCTGTATAGGACTATGTATTTCCGTTAATGTTTTGTTATCTTTTCGTAGGCAAGCTAATATAATAGTCGACACTTTCATGATTTGTATCGAAACCCATTCATGCGCATACTAATTTCATCTCGTAATTGAAAGCTTTACGTGACTATATAAAATAAATAGCAAAAGATTAGTAGTTATGTATATTGGTCGACATTTTCGAACCGCAACAGGGTGAGTAGAACATTATTCTTCTTGTTTTTTATACATTCTTTAAATACATCTCGTTCATCCTCAGTCAGTTGTGGTCGCCTCATTCAGTTGTTTTTCAGTGTCTAAAATCCACTACTATATAAATGCTATGTACAGAAAGAAAGCGAATTCACTCAGGGTAAAAAATATCCTGCCCAATGAACATGATGGCTTGATTGTGTAGTGTGTATAGACCTACTTTTCTTTATTTATTATTTTACTTCTTTCAATCTCTCCCACTTCTCTCTCTTATCCTTCTTCTTTGTAATCTCATAAGCCACCTCTATTTCTATGCTTTGCCTATATATCAGTGAGGCCTTCAAACAGGTCAGGAAAAATCAATGAGAAATGTTTCATTTTCGCTTTCAGGACGATAGTGAACACAATGAGATTGTTAACAATATGCAGTGTAAGTAGTAAAGTAAAAGTTAAGCCTTTTATTATGCAGTTAAAACTATTTTAGCATCAGGTGTAGGGCGTTTGTCAGTCGTGAGTTCGAGACTATGCTCTCAGTGCTTTTTGTGTCATTTGTCAACACACTTTGTAAAACAGACTTATCTTACTTTCAATTTATGTTCTGTTGTCAACAGAACATATGTATTTCCGTTAATGTTTTGTTATCTTTTCGTAGGCAAGCTAATATAATAGTCGACACTTTCATGATTTGTATCGAAACCCATTCATGCGCATACTAATTTCATCTCGTAATTGAAACCTTTACGTGACTATATAAAATAAATAGCAAAAGATTAGTAGTTATGTATATTGGTCGACATTTTCGAACCGCAACAGGGTGAGTAGAACAAAAAAGGCTCATTGAATGAGCCTTTTTTCACTGGCGAATTTATTCGCGCGAATCGAAAGCATCGATTTATGCGCATGCGCATTTCACATTTCTATCAAGTTTTTGCAAAGCGAAAAAATGTGCAACTAATCAAAGCTCAGCTTTGATTCGTTCGAATAAATTTGATTTCTTAATTGTTCATACTTAATATTGAATTTGAAGTAACTTTCCCCGGGTTCTAAGTAAGCTTGTTTTACGAAAGTAATTTTAAATTACAATTCAATTTTATCGCGGTGCACGATGTCTTCGCGGTGATGAAAAAATGAGGAATTTTTTTTTTCACACGAACCTAAAACAAATCAAGCCAAGCGTCCACTAATTGAAAAATAGGTACCTAAAAGGTACATGTGGCTACTGAATTGCCTTTTTTTTCTGTTTGTATATTATGTTTTAATGTATTCCATTTGTTAGTGTTGTTTTAAGTTCAAGCGAATAAGGAGATGCCAGATCTGCTTCAGGGTGGTGAAAGAAACATTTTCATTTGTTTTTCAAATAAATCAATTTTAATTATCAAAAATATTAACATTAATTACAGTGAATATGAGGAAAGTCATGTATATAGTTTTCAACTAAATAATAAATGTCAACTAAATAATAAAATATACAAATACAATTTTTAACACTTCTTTTTATTTAGGAATAAAAAATGTCTTTATTCTGTAAAAGCTTGAATAAGCGCTGCGGCGCTTAAAACATATTTGGAGGCTTCAGTGCGGTGCTTATTCAAGAGCGGCGCTCATAAAAAGAAATACCTGTACTGTACTGGTGTGGCGCTTTTCATGCCTGTTCCTATGTTACATATCTCACATTCCCGTAGTACAATAGGCCTATCATAGGTCCAATGTCATAGTAAATATACACTTTAATACAGAAAAAAAGAAATACTTGTGTATTCATTGTGTTATTTATTCATCTTAACACTGTATACATTGTATTTAGAACCCAAATTGCTTAATTACACACAAGGTAATAATATACTCTTAAGAGCCGCGGCGCTTTTTCGCATTTAGGGTAATGAAAAACTATATAATCTGAATCCACGATTTTGTAACAAGATAGCAATAAAGGCTTTTATTTTAATTTTCGATGGATCAATCAGCATACCCCATTTCTTGGGTTGAACTTTGGATTGGATTGGATTTATTCGGTGTAAACACCAAGGATAGCCCATGAAAGTCTAGAAGAAAACTTATTTCCAGTGGGGTCCTTCTTGTGGTGATTGGGCAGTTCACCGGGAGACAATCCCCTACTCTTTTCCGAAGAGTGTACTGCGTTCTTTAATGTGCAAATGGGCCATAGATGCACACGGAACCAACGGCTTAAACGTCCCATCCAAAAGACGGTGCGCTATTGTAACTTGTATTTCAGCCCTCCAGCTGAAACACAAGGAAAGGCAGCGATGGGAATTAAACCGGGGACCTAGAGATCTCCACGGTTTTGGTTCCTGAAAGCTGTATAACCTTAGGTTTTATGGTTACGAGTTGAGTGTTGCATACACTTGAAAGCAAAGAATTGTTTTGGGTTGATAAATTCCTAAATTTGGAATGGTATCTCTTCCAACTGCCTTATTTGAACTTTTGAGTTTATAAGAATATTGGTACCGAAATCGCTCAGCTTCACTGGAATTTGGTTTTCAATAGTTCTGGAATTCAGTGTGATTTGAAGCGGAAAAACAGTTTCTTAAAAAAGTTTCTGCAGTGGTTTGTAATTACATTTTGATGTACTGATTTGTGTTTGTTTTTTCAACTGGAGACAGCAGCCTACATTATGAATGTAGGCTTCCCATGTCTTCTTTTTCCCATATTTTTCAGTTTATTAACCTGAAATGATAAAGTATAAAATGCTAAGTTAAATATTGATGGTGAATATTTAGTAAAATATGAAAATGACTATAGATTTTTTTTAATGAAGATTTACATACCTTAAGGGCACAATTGCAGTATTATTGGTTTACAATTTTGCTACCTGTTTCATAATTTCAAGCATGGTCTACCTACACAGAACTTACTATTGCTTGGCATCGTACATAAAAAAAATGTGGAGACAGGTACCTAACATAACATAAAACTAAAAGGATCCGCTGAGTGTCGAATAATTTTTGTAACATTCGTAACCTCCCGCATTCGTAACTTCTTGCATTTTATCGGAAATATTCGCCAAATTAATTACGAGCGTTGATTGGTATTCGGCTCGTGATCAAATGTGTCGACTGGTACCGAGATTCACAGTCACTTACCTCGGTAACCATTCGATGACATAGTAGCTACTTTCAGTAGCCACTCAAAAATTATTGGACGGTGGGGAATAATCAAATAACATTGGGGGTCGCAGTGATGACGTCACGATTGACTTATAATTATGACTAGCGACTGAAAAAATATTATTTAAACATATTATGTTCAATTTATAATTTACAACAAAGACTACACCAACAAAATGTATATGCATCGTTTTAGTGACACGTTGCCTGTGACAACATCTAAACAGGTGGCCCAAGAAGGCTTAGGTGACGATGAAGCAGTGATACGTACCATGTGATTATTCACAAGTTTCTAATACACCTTTCTCGATCATTAAATGAAGTAATTGAAGTAGAAGAAATTATATTTGGTATTGTAAGTAATGCAAAGATTGTCAATGGACGTTACAGCTTAGGAAGAACTCCTGGAAAGGCTGACCTGGTTATCGCTAAGCCAGTAAGGAATGATTCTAATAGAAGATTTCAATGTCAGATACTGACACAAAGCGGAAACTTAATATTTTCAGATCCTTTCATCCTTACTGTATATTGTAAGTACGGCATGTTTGCATCCTGTATTGAGTATACGTACAAATGTTTAACAGTTCAAAAATAGTAAATTATTAAGTTGTATTTACCACATATCAATCCATGAAATTATTTTTTTGGACAAACTTTATAAAAGTTAGGACAAACAAACCCGTAAAACCAATGACTAATTATTGGCAGAGGTGATCGTAAAAGTAATAAAATATTTACAACTGAATTTTCAATTGGAAAGCAAACTGTACAGTATAACTGGAGTACATAAATCTATTAAACGAAATTCAGATTTTCCATATTTTTAACTTTATTTGCTCTACACAGAATATTTTAAAAGTGAGATTGAAGTAAGAAACAAATCCTGGGATTTGAACCCAGGACCTGAAATAATAGAAAACAATTAAAAATCAGTAACTCCACTTTTTAATTTATTTTAAATTTTACTAGGACAAAATAATATATTAGTAGCAATATTTTACAAAGTACAAATCAACATTGTATGTTGGTTTTGTTTTTTTTTTTTTTATCAGAGCAGGGACACCATTTAATTTAGAGCAAAATAAATAGTATTTATACAGTATCAGTTAACATGACTGTAATGTTCATACTTGCATAACCTCGAGTATGTATTTGTTTGTTTATTAAATATTTATTAATGAAAGCATAATTGATTGTGTTTTAAACATAGTTATCATAAGGCTAGAGGAGTCAATTATAATCATCATTTCAACTTTAACCGCACTTACCAGTACTTATGATAACTGGCTGCATAACACTTACAACAAAAAATTAACTGGCACTCTCTTCATCGATCTTAAAAAAGCTTTTGACACTCTTAATCACAATATCATCATTTCTAAACTTCCCTTTTATGGTTTTTCCCCTTCAACAATCTCATGGCTTCATTCTTTTATTTCCAACCGTTCTCAGCAAGTTCTCTTTGGTCAAACTCTTTCTTCGACTCAAGCTTGTTCTATAGGTGTCCCTCAAAGTTCGACCTTAGGCCCTTTTATTTTTTCTATCTACATTAATGACCTTCCGACTGCACTTACCACTATCTATCCTAACATCAATGTTGATATGTATGCAGATGACACAATCATCTACTACAGCAACATCTCACTTCAACATATAGAACAGAAACTCTACTCTCCATCTACTCTCTGTGTGGCTCAAATCTAGTAAACTAACACTTAATGTCAATAAAACCAAATCTATGCTCCTTGGCTCTTCTAACAAACTGAAAGTTCATAATAACAAAATCAACCTTCATTTAGATAATACATATATTCAATCTGTAACTTCTCATAAGCACCTTGGTGTAATCATTGATAATAGTCTAACTTGGAAATCCCACACTTCCCCTCTCTGCAAAAAACTGAACTCCATTGTCTACCTACTTGCACGTACCTCTAAATTCACTAACTCATCCTCTCTTCACCTTTTATATAGGCCTAATTCTTTATTTCTTTCTAGACTTGATTACTGCTGTGCTGTCTGGGGATCTAAACCTTCTACCACATTCAAAGTTCAAAAAATTCAAAACAAAGCTATACGAATTTTATTGAATCTCCGTCCAACTACTCAATTATTTTCCTCTCACTTTCTAAAGGCTAACACTCTTCCTAATCAACTCAGATATCAGTTTCAACTTGGCTGCCTAAATTTTAAGGCCACAATATCGCTCCTCAAACTATCTGTCAATCCATCACTAAAATCATTGCTAATGGCCGCATGAATACTCGCCAGACTACTAAAGGTGATCTCCTTATTCCTAGGCCCTGCTTAGAACTGTTTAAACTTTCTTTCAGCTTCAATGCCCCCTCGTTCTTCAACTCACTCCCTTAAAAAATCAGAAATTCTTCAAGCATCTCATCCTTTAATCTAACCTCAAAATCTATCTCTCTCTTTCCTTGGTTTAGTTTTTTCCCTCTGTCTGTCTCTCTCTCTCCCCAGTGAGCCCTCTGTCTCTTTTTTTCCTTCAGGCTGGCCCTAAACTTTAAAATTTAAATTAAAATTTTATTTTCACTTCATTTTTTTTTGCTTTTCTTTATTTGCCATATTATTCTGCTTTTAATTATTTTATAGTTAATTTGATTTTATTTTAAATTTTATTTATACAATATGTATATATATTGTAATAATTTCTTTTCCTTTGTTACTTGGTTTTTATTATAATTTTTCATTTTAATTTCTTTGTTTATTTATTTATATTTCCTTTGTTACTTGTGTTATGTTCTTATAACTTATAAATATATATAATTTTTTTTTTTAATTTTATTTTTAACTTCGTTATTTGTTGCTTTTTTTGTGCCTTATTATTCTGCTTTTAATTATTTTATAGTCAATTTGATTTTAATTAAAATTTTTATTTATATAATATATTTATATGTAATAATTTCTTTTCCTTTGTTACTTAGTTTTTTTTAAATTTATTTATTCATTTTTTTAAATATTTTATATATATATATATATTTTTCATTTTAATTTCTTTGTTTTTCTATTTATATTTCCTTTGTTACTTGTGTTATGTATTGAGGGTTCCTAATGATCAGCTCCGACTGGATGGACAACCCTCGTAAAATATTGTTGAAATAAAAATAAATAAATAAATAAAACGTATTTTAGTTCTTTCAATTAATGTACAAAGAAAGTAAATGTTTTTATATTTTAGCATATAAATGTCCGGTATATTAGACAGTGTTGAATAATGTTTAGCAAATTATTTGAAATGATTCACCGATTTATTTAAAACAGGTCCGGCCAGTTAGATCAGTAGCAATATTTTTCCTTTATTTGTTTATCATACAAAGTATTAATTTCTATAAATTTTCAGATCTAGGCAAGCCCGTCCTCACTGCCTCAACAACTGTAAAATATTGTCTATGTAACTAAAGATTCAAGAACATTGTCTGTATAAGTTATAAGTTAGGGTAAAAAATTACAATAACACAATTACATGATGCTCAATGCCAAAACATTGTCTTAAGAATAGACATCAAACACTAAAAGGAGAATAATAACATGAAGAAATTTAAAAGATTAATTAATAATAATGTAGTGTAAATTTGTATATTATTTCTTGTTTATATTCAGCATCTATTCCAGTTCTTACTGTATTTGGTTTTACTTCTGTTGCTGAGTGTACCTAATGGTAAGTTGAGGCAACTCTGTAGAGATTGCATATTATTTATCATATTTCTTTCGCTATCATATATTATTCATATAATAAATTTCCTGTTGATCAAGTATTCATACTCAAGAACTTGCAATTTTGCCAGCATCTTATTTTGTATGGCATTTTCACTTTAATGTCAGTGTAGGCCCTTTATGTAAAAGTTGCATGATATTAAATAAAGGCGACCCCTTAAATTGACATTGTCATTGGCAGCGTTCGATTTCCAGCACTTTTTGTGTGTAGAAAAAACTGCTATGCACTTTTTATTTTGTGTAGCAATCCAAAAATTGTGTATAGAATTTTTTGTGTGGGGCGAAAAATTCACGGCATCTTAAACGTCGGAAGAAAGCTTCCAGATCCAAAAATAGTTGTTGTGGGTCAGCCTGCCTCGGTTTTGGGCAAAATTTGAGTCCTCGGGATAGAAGTTTGGTTTCTCCTTCGGAAAGCTGACAGTTCATTTGAACAACTGTATCCGTGGTGTTGCGCGGATTATCACTAAAGCGCCGAATGAACCTTCTAGGTTTACGTGAAAGCCAAACATTGTGCGAAGGTTGGATCACTTGTGTTGAAGAGATATTGTCTCGACCAAATTTGTGTTGTCTCCTCAGGGAAAGTTCCTTGGAAAGCTAAAGGCAATCCTTGGCAATAATCTTGAGTTTGTTTTGAAACTCAGATATAGGAAGGTCTCTTTTTAGCCTTCTAGTCCTAAAGTGAATTTGGTTGTCGATGTCTTTGAGGAGTTTGCGGCAGTTGCCAATTAGGACCTCATTTAATCAGGAAGGCCAAAACTAAACTTTAGAGGCAAGCCCCAATAAATAAGCCAAATGATTTATCCAGAATAAATTGAAATGCCATTGGTTTAATTTAGTGTACTGGGAGAACGTTCCTAATATTGAGTCCAA